GGGGCCTTAAAGATCACCTCATTGCACCCCCTGCCATGGGCAGGGACACCTTCCACTAGCCCCGGTTGCTCCAAGCCCCATCCAGCCTGGCTCTTGCAGGGGAATCCACCCCTTCCAGACATTCCTACCACTATTGCTGATGCTGCACATTAAAAGTGATTTTTAGCCTTTTCAGTGACCCCTTTTCTCCAGCAATTGAAATCAGAACTTCAGAGCTTTGCAGAAGCATTTAAAGCCAATGGAATCATGACTTTTCCTTGTTATTGGCAGAGAGATAAAGAACCCAAGCAGTCCCCAGGAGTGGGTGTGGGGCTTTGCAGAGATCAGCAGAGAAGCTCAACATTGCTCTTCACAGGGATAATCTGAGGGTGGAAATTCCCTCAGAGGCTCCAGATTCCCATCCTGGCATCCCTGCAGCAGAGGCGTGTGCCAGGGCTCCAGGAGTGGGGTTTGTGCTCCTGGAGGACACCCAGAGCCCTCACTCCGTTCATTCCTGGCCAGTTTGGGATGTTCTGGTGTCTGGTGGGGCTCCTCAGCCACAGGAATTGCTCAGTGCAGTTTTCTCTCCTTGGCCATCCCAGGGAAACAAACCCTGCCTGGTTTCACATCATTTTGACTCAGCTTTGCTGCCTCTGGGTGGTGGAGATTGCTACCAGCCACTTTGGGAAGGGATGGATTAGATGGGGTTGGAATCAGCCTAAAGAGCTGCTGGTGGAAAGTTTGGCATGGGAGCCAGCATTCCTAAAAACCACATCTGAACAGAAATGCTGTGCAAGGAAACCTCCAGCCTGTGGAAATGAGGCTACAGCCTCAGCAGCTTCCAGGAAGAGCCATGGGGAAATCAATCTGAAAATAGCAAATTGCTGAATCTCTTCAGAGCCCCTGAGGAGGAAAATGAGCAGTTGGACCCCTCTCCTGCTTCCTGTGGGATCTTTGGTTGATAAACTCATCAGCCCTGTCTCCCCTTCCCATCTGTCAAGAGCAGGATGGCAGAATTCTGGGAAGACTTTCACTTACAATGTGGAGACTTTGATAGTGCTGTCCTGAGCAACGCTGCTAAAAATCAAACTGTGGATGCCTGAGAGAGAAGTTTCAGTGCTGATGCAATTTGTCAGCATCTCATCCTTGCTCCCACACAGAGCTGAATCATCAGAGCACAGGGATTTGTCACTCTGGATCATCATGTGATGGCAAAGCCCACCACCACCACCACCAGCACTGAGAGCAAACAGAGAGAGCCCAGCTGGGAGAAAAACTGGCCAAGTGCAGAAAATATTTCATTATTGAGGGTTATACAGGATTATAGAGTGTTATATGGGGAATAACCTGACAATCACAGAGCCATGGGATGGCCTGGGTTGGAAGGGATTTTAAAGATCGTCCAGTTCCAATCCCTTTGCCATGGCAGGGACACCTCCCACTGTCCCAGGTGCTCCCAGCCCTGTCCAGCCTGGCCTTGGGCACTTCCAGGGATCCAGGGGCAGCCCCAGCTGCTCTGGGCACCTGTGCCAGGGCCTGCCCACCCTCCAATTTCTTCCCAATATCCCATCCATCTCTTCCCTCTGTCAGTTTGAAGCCATTGCCCCCTGTCCTGTCCCTCCATCCCTTGTAAAATTCTCTCTCCATCTTTCCTGCAGCTCCTTCAGGCACTGGGAGGCCACAGCTGTGCCACCCCAAAGCTTCTCCTGTCCAGGTGAGCACCCCCAGCTCTGCCAGCAGAGCTGCTCCATCCCTCTGCTCCAACACAGTGCACCTGGAGATCTCCTCAGGGACTTCTACACAAATCCCCTCCCTCTGCTGCTCCCAGGACAGCACAGTCCAGCAGGATTTGTGCCACAATAAAATCCTCCAGCTGTGGGCACTGTAGGGTTTGTGACCTCCCAGATAATCCCAACCACACAGGGCAGTGGTACCTCCATGGCACAGTGCATCTGTGACACCCTTTAATAGTGAAAAGTCACTTTTGATGTTCAAAGTTTTACATCCCATGCATTGCAGGCAGTTGGGAAGTCATAAAGAGCAAGAATTAATTAATCCTGGCCATACCCCCAAGAGATGTGCAGGCAAACACAGCAGCCAAGGTTACTGACTTCCCCAAGCCACAGTGGGTGTTGGGGCAGAGCTGAGATTGAGGTGCAGAAACTGATGGCAAGGCTCAGGGAAACTGATTTCGAGGAGGAATAACTTTCAAAATAAACAAACATTTAGAAAAATGTTTCTTTCTAATTCAGTACTTTGTTGGTACAATGCAAGTACATCCTGATCTGTGGGGTCAGGCTGTAAATATTCACTTTGGCCCATCCTGAGGGTTTGGATGCACACAAAAATGTATGTATGGGCTCCATACCCTGTGGGAGAGAACAACGAGGTGTCCAGTGAAAGGGATCAGTCCCAAACAGGCAGAATAACAAGCTCTGCTGTGTTTTTCCAAGGCTTCCCCAGCAGACTTTCCCACGCCAGCCCACAGCCACCCTGGTCTGGAGCAGAGTCACATTGGGCTCCACCAGCTTTGGGACCTCACTGGGCAGCAGATATCCAGATACCCTCCCAAGGGAGTGTGCATCCCAAGGGCCTCCCCACAACCCATGATTTCCTGCAGAGTTGTGTGTTCTGATGAAAAATACTCGCAGAAACACCCACTTCTAGGGAAATTTGCAACTGCCTTCCAAGTTTCTTACCGTTTTGAATTAATAATATTGAATTCCTCCCCCTCAGCTTGGCATATCTCAGGAATGGGATGCTCAGGGAGATTTGGAGTGCCCATCCCTGGAGGTGGCACCTGGGGGTGGCACTCAGTGCTCTGGGCTGGGGACAAGGTGGGCATCAGGCAGAGGTGGCACTCTGAGGTCCTGGAGCTCTTTTCCAACCTAAGTGATTTTGTGGTTCTGCAATATCTCTGATCATACAGTGGATATATGGGCAAACTCCCTCGTGGCCCTCAGATAAAATCTGAAAGTAAAACAACCGAGCTCTGTGGGGCTCCTTGATCTGGTTTAAATGTCTGCACAGACAAGGAGTTTTTGCTTTTGTTGTAATTAGTGGGCATGTGCTCAGACTCTAATCATTGTTCTTTAGGCTTTCTTACCAGGCCTGACCTTCCCATTTGGACCCAATAAAGCAGATGAGCTCTGTGCCTTTTTGTTCTCAGATGACAAAGTGCTCGGCATTTGGCACTCAGCTTATCTCATCCGTTTGGGATTTTAATTATCAACACAAGAGCCTTCCCAAAGGCTGGCTGGGCTTTGGGCACGAAGATTATGTAGGGAAACTAATGGCAGAAAAACGCCTTTGTCCATCAGTTCTTTTCACTGTGGCGACTAGAAACTCTACAAACAGCTATGCTATTTTAATTCCAAAAAACACATTTGCAATGTCATCTCTATGGAGGAAAAATATGCTCAGCTTGAGTTTTGTTTTGTGCTGCTCCGTGTACAAGAACATGGAGCTGCCGTGTTTGCAGAGCGTGTGGGGAACCCAGAGCACAGTCTGTTACCAGGCTTTATTTTTTGCACTGTCTGCTCCCATTTTTTCAGTGTTCTGACTTATTGCTGATTACTCCAAGGCGCTCCAGTGCATCTGATAGTGCAGGAACTGTGACTCCTCAATCCCAGGCTGGGATGGCTGCTGAAATGAGATAACCCAGCCAGGCATTGAGAGCATAAGTGTTGAACTTTTCTTCTCAGAGAACTGAAGCCTGCTTGGTCAGATTGACCAAAAAGCACTGAGTTTGCTTAGTTTTTATTTCAAACTGGCAGTGTGATAACACAGGGGTGGGTGGCTGGGTGGTGGGGCAGGGATTTATCTGAGTGTGGCCTTTCTCTTCATGTGCAAAGAAAAATCACGGAATCACAGAACGGTTTGGGTTGGGAGGGACCTTGTGGATCCTCTCGTTCCCTGGGCAGAGCCACCTTTCACTACCGGGATGCTCAAAGCTCCATCCTTGAACACCTCGGGGATGGGGCAGAGCTCAGCAGGGCAGGCAGAACAGTGAGAGGGGAATAAACACAGCGAGAGGGGAATAAACACAGTGAGAGGGAATAAACACAGCCCGGCACCCGGGGCCGCGGGACCCGCCCGGGCTGGGGTCTCGGGGCTGGCCCCGCATCCCGGTGCCGGTGCCGGTGCTGGGCTGGTCCCAGGGGCAGGGTCGGGGCGGTCCCGATGTCGGTGTCGATATCGGGGTGGTCCCGATCCTGGTGCGAGGGTCGGTGCCGGTGCCGGGCAGTCCCACGGGCCGGAGGCGGGCCCGGTGCCGGTCCCTGTGCCGGTGTTGGTACCGGGACAGTCTCGCGGGCCGCAGGCGGTCCCGGTGCCGGTGCCGGTCCCTGTGCCGGTACTGGGGCGGTCCCGCGGGTCAGAGGCGGTGCCGGTGCCGGTGCGGTCCCGGTGCCGGTGTCGGTGCAGGTCTCGGTCCCATGCCGGTGCCGGGCGGTCCCGCGGGCGATACCGGTCTCGGTCCTAGTCCCGGTCTCATGCTGGTATCGGTGTCGGTCCCAGTCCTGGTGCCGGTCCATGCCGGTGCCGGTACTGGTATCGGAGCCGGTCCCAGACCCGGTGCCAGGGCGGTCCCGGGGCGGTGCCGATGTCGGTGCCGGTGCCAGTCCCAGTCCCGGTGCCGGTGCCAGTCCCAGTGCCAGTCCCAGTCCCGGTGCGGTGCCGGTGCCGGTGCCGGGGCGGTGCCGGTGCCAGTCCCAGTCCCGGTGCGGTGCCAGTGCCAGTGCCAGTGCCGGTGCCGGTGCCGGTCCCTGTCCCGGTCCCAGTGCCAGTCCCAGTCCCGGTGCGGTGCCAGTGCCAGTGCCAGTGCCAGTGCCAGTCCCAGTCCCAGTCCCGGTGCCGGGGCGGTCCCGGGGCGGTGCCAGGGCCGGGCGCAGGCCGCGCCCCGGGGGCGGTGTTGCGGAGCGGGGAGGCGGCTCCGGAGCCATCGCGCCTGCCCGGCCGGCGGCGGAGCTCGGTGCAGGGGAGGGGGGCGGGGGGCGGCTCGGCGCGGGTCTGCGGGCCCCATGGGCGGGTGTGTGGGCTCCCACCACGACTCCTCGGGCAGCCTCAACGAGAACTCGGACGGCACCGGAGGTGAGCGCTGCGGGCCGGGCCGGGGGGCCCGCGGGGGGACCCCGGGGCGGGCGCTGCGGGCCGGGGCCTGCGGCGGGCGGGGGAGCCGCGTCCGGCCGCCGGCCCGGATCGTGCCCGGGGCCATCCCCCGGCTTCTCTCCCTCGTTCGCCCGAAGTTTGCCGGGGCGGCGGGGCCGGCGGCGCTCGGCGGGCGCTGCCCCAGGGCGCAGCCCCCGCCCCGCTCCGCGGCCCCGGCGTGCGGGGCTGTACCGGGGGATGGCCCGGGCTGTGCCCACCGGGGCCGCACCGGGGGCCGCACCGGGGCTGTACCGGGCTGTGTCCACCGGGGGCTGTGCGGGGGCTCCGTGGCCGGGCCGTACCGGGAGCGGTGTCGGGGCTGTCCCGCCGGGCAGTGCCGGAGGGCTCGGGGACGCGGCCCCTGCTGAAATAAAGCCCGGCTGGGGAAAGGGCCTGCCCGGGGCTCCCGAAGTTTGTTTTCCTCGGGCTCCGCTCCTTGCGGTGTGCGGGCAATGATTCCTCGGCTCGCTGAGATCCTGGCGCTGCTGCGGGGCCCGGGTTTATTTTCCAGCCGGGAGAGGTGCCTGGCTCCAGCCTTAGCCGCCCGTGGGACCGGAGCGGTCGGCGGCGGCTGGAGATGCTGCATGGATGGATGGATGGATGGATGGACGGATGGATGGAGCAGCGTGGTCCCTGCGAGCGCAGCCCGACCTGGGGAGCAAAGCCAGCGTGCAAACGCTGCTGCAGTGTCAGCAGCCTTTCACCGGCGGGTTCCTCTCCAGCTAAGTGCCTGAATGATTGCTTTTTCAACCCTCTCAGGTTCGTGGACCCCTGATGTTCTCCAGCCGAGCTGTGTGTGTTTTATAGTCATTTAAAGTCAGCCTGCCAACAGGACACTTGACTTATAGGTAGTCCTCACACATGCAGGGTCCACAGATTTCAGGAGGAGAATTGCTGATCTAGGTCTGTGTTTTACAGAATGTTATTTATCAGTCTGGTTTTTATTTCGGATGTCCCAGCTGATGGGTGTTCTTTCCATCAGTGGCTTTGCTGTCATTCCATAATGTAAAAATATGCAGCACTTGGAGTTGTATCTGAACCAACCATCTGCTGGTTCATGCCAGATACAGAGTTCATGGAAACACCAGAATTCCAGCTGCTGAGAGCTGTGTGGGATTTCACAGAATCCCAGAATAATTGGGGTTGAGGACTCCTGTAGTTGGGGAGTGACCTCTGGAGATCATTCAGTCCCTACTGAGGCAGGGTCATCCAGAGCAGGTGACACAGGGACACATCCAGGTGGGTTTGGAATGTCTGCAGAGAGGGAGGCTCCACAACCTCCTGTGGATTTAATCACATTAGTGTCATTGAAAGGAATTTTATAGCTTTGAGTATTGTGAGTCTTCCTTACTCCGTTAGTAAAAAGGGAAGGAGTGGGTTACCTGAAATGCATCTGTACTAAGCAGATTTACCAGGCAGTAAAACACTGCAGGTGTGCTGAGCAGAATGGACCAGTCAAAGGAAAAGAACAGCAGGAATCATCTCATACCCTGAAATCTTGACCAAAAAATAGCATTAAAAGCTCCACTGGTGCTTGTCCTGAGATGTGCTTTGGTATTATGAGGTGAGATCATGTCACAGAAATAGGCTGGGTTTAATTTCCTTGCTCTTATCTCACCTGTGATATCGAATGAATGAGATAGGAGGAGAACACGATCGGGTTTTGGGTGATATTGCAGAACAGATTCCACACCCCAGAGCAGCGTGTGAGGTGGGCAGGCTCCATCCAGGCTCTCTGTGTCCCTGCCTGGTGCTCCCAGGGCATGGCACTCTGCTGCTCGGGGGTTAAATAACCCATTGTGCCTGCTGCATTACAACAGCAGCTGGGCTTTCAAGATGTAAGAGATGTGAAATTCGTGTCAGCTGGCTCGTGTTGATTCATGCTCTCAGGGTAATGTTCCTTAAGGTTGTCTCGCCGAAGTGAGAAGCGCTGAAATTTCACTTGAATTATGAGCTTCTTAGGACTGTCTTAAACAATCAGCTCCAGTGTGCAATAGCCTGTTTTGTAATGCTACAGATCTGTTCCTGCCTCTCCACAAGGAGGAAAGGGGGGGTAGGTTGAGCTGGGGGAAGCTCTGAGTATGTCCCCTAAATGTGACTCCCCAGGTGCCAAAGTCCAGCCCGCGCTGATTCCGAGCTTTGCCAATTCTGCCAACGTGCCCTTAGCAAGCCTCAAACCCAGCTTGCTCTCTCAAGGGAGCTTCTGTCTGGAGGCATCAGCCAGAGAACCAGCTGAAGCAGAAGTGAACACGGTTTGGAGCTGAGACCTGTGCAGAGAGATGACTTTTTCCTGTTCCCCAAGTGAGGCTCATTTCCTCCAGCTCCGGGGTTGTGACCTCACCCGCTGCATTCGCTCTCGGATCACTGTCGGTGAGCGGGGCCAGAACGTTTCGAAATGCTGGGAAGGTGTTTTGGAACATGATGATTCTAACTTGCCAGTGATGGGCTTGTTTTGGAGAGGCTTTGTCTTTTCCCCAGAATGGAAAAGTTTCCTGGAGAATTGTGAGCGCCCGAGAGCTTGCTCAGCCAGCAGTGGCTGTGTGCGATGCTGGGTGAGAGCAGAGCCAGCTCTCGAGTCTGATTCATCCCAGTTTCAATTTATTCCAGGGCAGTGGGGAGTGGCAAAATCGTGCTCAATTGTGTTATTGGAGTTGAGAGGAGGATTTGTCACATCCCTGTATTCTCCTCAGTGTTTTTGTCCATGGCCAGCGCTTCCCGTTGCTCGTGTGCAGCTTGGCAGAGCTGACGGCATGTCCTGGCCACGTGTGCTGCTTTTGTCTCTTACTGTGGGCATTTTTCAAGGTCAGGATGCCTGTGTGTGTGTCAGGAGAGCTGGTGTGGATCCTCAGGTGTGCCTGCATGTGTGAGATGGAGCTAATCAAAAGCCCAGCTTATTGCACAGCTCTGTTTGCAGTGACCGGAGCAGGAGGAGGCTGTTCTTCACCAAGAATTTAACAGATGCTGCTCTGCCCATCGGGCTGGAAATGAAATGGGCTTTGCAGATTGGTACCAGCTGTTTCATTAGCACTGCTCTTTTTAGCAAGTTCTCATTTCACCAGGACATTGGCATAGACAGGAAAAGTTCCTGCCTCGATGCTGGGTGTGTTGTAGCCCAGCAGCACCGAACTGTGGTGGGTGTCCTGGGTGGATTTACTGGGGAGTCATTAAAGGACATCATGAATTGGGTTATAGACACAGGTTGTGCCCAGTTCATCCCTTTAGCTCAGCTGTCTCCCACCTAACAGCCCAAGGTGGTTTCAGGAGCTGAGCACTGCATCCCTTCCAGCTGTGCCCTGCCTAAGGTGCCCGAGTTCCTGCAGGATGGTGAGAGCAGGGGAGGAATTCCTGTTCTGCAGCCACTCCCCAGGCTGTGTGACCTCTTCACTTGTGCTTCTGGCGTTGCTTTGGGCTTGGAATGAACTGCTGGAAAACTCTGTCCTTGTGCCTGTCCATCAGGTATGTTCAGTTGAGCAAAACCAGCAGAGATGTGCCAGCTGCCATCCGCACGGGCAAGTCCTTCCTGGAGGGCTCCTCAATTTCTCTTTGAGAAGGAAAAGGAGGAACCTGCTCATTGCCTTGTGGCAGCTCTCACCCCTCTCAGAAGCTGCACGTGGTGAAGTTCAGTGAGACAGTTACTTGTGTGGGGTGAGGGAAAAGCAGGGAATCCAGTGGCTGGAAGCAGGAGTCATTCCAGATTAGGGGTTTTGGCTGCAGCTGTCTGATTGCTGCTGAGCTCTCCTTGACACGATGCTCTCCTGCCTGCTGCAGTTCTTGTCACCCTTCCTTGGGAGCAAAGATGCTGATTCTGTTTGAAATTTGTCTTCTTTCCTGCTGCCCCCATCACCCAGCAATGAGAACAGGGCCAAGTGGAAATAAGGCTGCCAGAATGGGAGATTATTCAAACCCTCCATTCCTCCCGTGGAGTTTGATGCAGTGCTGGAGCTTCATTAACTCACAGAAAGGCAAATATTGTGCTCCACCTCTGCTCTCAGCAACTGGACAACAGTTTCTTAAATATTTTCCTTGAGTGCTGTGCAGGGCTGCGTATCACATGGCTAATTGGAAGTCACAATAACTGCTTTCATGGTGCTTCTCTGCAAGACTGACCAGGGGAATTTGCATGTTAAGCAGTGAGATTTGTGGCTCACAATTGCACTAACACAGCCAGGCTCTGCTTGGCTGGCACGGGGGGGTTAAACAAGCAGCTCATGACTGCTTGGAGAGCATTTGGTGCCTCCCTTTTGTGCTGGAGCACACAAAGAGTCTCCCAGAGGGATTTTTCAGTGGGTTGGAGCTGTTGGGTGCAGGCTGGGATGGTTTTTCACTGCCATCTGAAAGAGGCACCTCTGGATTTCAGGTAGTTCCTGCTGGTCTGGAATACAGGGCTGGCAAAAATAGTCAGAAATCAGAGCTGGCTTTTGCTGTTAGGTCCTGCTGGGGGGTGTTTTGTACGGTTTGTTTTCATTTTGGAGGGTTTTTTTAAATGGAATAATGAAAAAAGCTTGGCATGACTGAAATTTGCTCCAAATCCTTCCTGCTCCATGCCTGGGTGTGTTTAAAGGATGTGTAGATGGAGCACTTGGGGATGTGGTTCAGAGGTGGCAGCGATGGGCTGATGATGACCCTAAAGGTCTTTTCCAACCTCACCGAGTCTCTGATTTTCCAAGGGGTTTTATCATGGCTTTGGAATGGAAGTAGCCTTTAATAAATTGTATTTCCCAAGGGCTGGGCACCCTCAGCCTCCTGGAGGTTATTGGGATGTGGGAATGGGTGCTGCCAACTCCTGATAATTCAGTCCCAAGGGTTCCTCTCCTGCTGCTGTGACACCTTTCCTTTGTAAAATACAGGACTCGGTTTTGTTTTCCAGGTGATAACAAGGAGCTCTCAGAAACCCAAATAAAGTGTTATTTTTGCTGTTAATAAGGGCTGGCAAACAAAGCTGT